ACCACCACTTCTGGAGAATCTGTAAGCCAAGCCATTGTTTACTGTAGGGAGCAGCTGCTAGCACTGGGCAACAGGAAAGTACTCCTGGAGGAGCGACCCAAGATTCCGAAGGAATTACGAGGAGGGGACGCAGGGCTGGAGTGAAGTACCAGGAAAGAAGGAGATGGTACAAACCAAGCATTCCATCCATTCTCATGGGTAATGTAAGATCTTTACCCAACAAGATGGAAGAGCTAATTGCGCTAACCAGACTGCAGTGGGAGTACAAGCAGAGCAGCCTCCTCCTGTTCACTGAGACATGGCTCAGGGACCACACACTCTGTCATAACTCTGGATGGCTTTCAACTGGTTAGAGCGGACCGGAATGCAAAGGAGAGTGGTAAGAGGAGAGGTGGGGGACTAGCAATGTATGTCAATGAGAGATGGTGTAACCCGGGGCACATCACTGTGAAGGAACAGAGCTGTACCAAAGACATTGAACTGTTGGCAGTTAGCGTCCGGCCATACCACCTGGCCAGGGAATTTTCACACGTTATTGTGCTGACTGTTTACATCCCACCCTCGGCCGACACTACAAGCAGCCTGTGATTACATTCACTCCACTGTCTCTCAGTTACAGATGGCACATCCGCAGTCCCTCATTATCATCTCTGGGGACTTCAATCATGCCTCACTATCTGTCACTCTCCCAAACTTATCCCAGTACGTTGACTGCCATACAAGGGACAGCAAAACCCTGGATCTATTGTTTGCCAACACAAAGCAGGCTTACAGTGCATCACCCCTCCCCCCGCTTGGCCACTCAGACCACAACCTGGTCCTTCTCCACCCCACCTACACACCTATGGTGAAGAGGAACCCCCCCACGAAGAAGGTGATAAGGGTGTGGTCTGAGGAATGCACTGAGGCCTTAAGAGACTGTTTTGAATGCACAGACTGGCAGGAACTCTGCAAGCCTCACGGTGAGGACATCGACGCCCTCACTCACTGCATCACGGACTACATTAATTTCTGTGTTGAGAACACTGTGCCTACCAAGAAGATACAGTGTTTCTCAAACAATAAACCGTGGGTCACCCCAGAACTGAAGGCCCTGCTGAACAAGAAGAAGAGTGCTGTCTGGTCGGGAGACAAGGAGAAACTTAAGAAAGTCCAAAAGGATCTTAAATACAAGATCCGAGAAGGCAAGGAGTGCCTCAGGAGGAAGATGGAAAACCAACTCCAACAGAAAAACGTCAGAGAAGTCTGGAGGAACATGAAACAAATCTCTGGACATTTCCAGGACAATGGAGGAGCCACAGTGTCTGCTGGCCGGGGGTGGGCTAACGACTTGAATCTGTTTTTTAACAAATTTGACAATGGCCCACTTATCACCTCTCCCACCCCCCAGGTTCCATTAACCCCCCTCCATTTGCCGCCCCCCCTCCGGGTGCAATGCCATTGTCACCTGAGCTCTCCTCTCACCACAACCCTGCTTCACCCCCTTCACACATCTATCCACAACAAAGCAAGCCCCACCCCACTCCAGCCCAGTCTCACATCACATCTACTTCACAGCTGATCAGGTGAGAAATCAGCTCAAGAGGACGAAGGCAAGGAAGGCAGCAGGTCCGGATGGAATCTGCTCCAGACTGCTCACGGACTGTGCAGAGCAGCTCTGTCAGGTGGCCCTGTACATCTTCAACCTGAGCCTGAGCCTGGAGAGGGTTCCTGAACTGTGGAAGACTTCCTGTGTGGTTCCGGTGCCAAAAATCGCACACCCCAGGGAGCCCAACCACTTCAGGCCTGTTACCTTGACTTCTCATCTGATGAAGACCATGAAAAGGCTCATCATGCACCACCTTCAGCCACTGCTGGGCTCAGAGATGGACCCCCTGCAGTTCGCCTACTGTTCTGGAATTGGGGTGGATGACGCTGTCATCTACCTGGTACACCGATCCCTCTCTCACTTAGAGCAGGCGGGGAGCACTGTGAGGATCATGTTTTTTGACTTCTCCAGTGCTTTCAACACCATCCAACCTGCACTACTGAGAGGGAAGCTGGAGGGAGCCGGAGTAGGCAAACAGCTGACTGCATGGACCATCGACTACCTTACCAACAGACCACAGTATGTGAGGCTCCATGACTGTGTGTCCGAGGTGGTAATCTGCAGCACGGGGCCACCACAGGGCACGGTTCTCTCACCTTTCCTGTTCAGCCTTTAGACTTCAGACTTCTGTTATAATTCGGACGATTGCCATATACAGAAGTTCTCAGATGATACAGCCATCATTGGATGCGTATCAGACGGGAATGATCAGGAATACAGGGGGGCCATCAGTGACTTTGTTGGCTGGTGTGAGACCAACGTACTCCAAATCAACGCCGGCAAGACAAAGGAGATGATCATAGACTTCAGGAGGAAGTCACCCCCTACAACACCGGTGAACATCCAAGGGAAAGACATTGAGATAGTGGACTCTTATAAGTACCTGGGTGTTCACCTCAACAATAAACTGGACTGGACTACAAATACAGACGTCCTATATAAGAAGGGCCAGAGTCGACTCCACCTGCTGAGGAGACTGAGGTCCTTCGGAGTCTGCAGAACTCTGTTAACGACATTCTATGACACTGTGGTAGCATCTGCCCTTTTCTATGCAGTGGCCTGCTGGGGGAGTGGATGCACGGACAGGGACAGGAGCAGGATTGACAAACTGGTGCGGAGGTCTAGCTCCGTGCTGGGATGTCCCCTGGAGTCTGTGGAGGTGGTTGGTGAGGGGAGGATGTCAGTAAAGCTGACACCCATCATGAACAACCCACATCACCCACTGCATGAGTATGTGAGTGGGCTGAGCAGCTCCTTTAGTCAGAGACTGAAACACCCTCGCTGCAGGAAGGAGCGCTTTCACAGATCATTCATCCCAACAGCAGTTAGACTCTGTAACTCCTCAATCACGATGTTATAAGTCACTGGACACTGTGAACATCCACGGTCACAACTTCATGCATAATGGACCTTCCATGACCTTCCAAGCTATATAGTTTATGTCTTCCATATTTCCAACTATATCCATAATCACATACTGTGTATGCTACCATTGTATATAGTGTATTATCTTACTTTTTCATTGATTGTACTTATTTGTATTTTTGTATTTCCTTCATATATCTGTACCTGAGCTGAGGCGACGCAAAAATTTCCCCGTTGTGGGATCAATAAAGTCTTATCTTACCTTATCTTATCTTATCTTATCTTATCTTATCTTATCTTATCTTATCTTATCTTATCTTATCTTATCTTAATACATATTAGACACATTTAGCACTAATGGCTTGACATGGGTTAAGGCAAATGCTTAAAGCTGAAGTTGCATTCACTGTTGTTTTGGGTAATGAGTTATCGTACAGTATACATATCCTGCTGAAACAAAGCTTGTTTATTTAAAGTCAGCGACTTGTATTTTTAGCTGTATCATCCTTGTCATCTAGTCTTGTTTCCTACGAAGTGCACAGAGCTTAACTGAAGCTTAATAATGGCCACCTGTTGCTGCCTTATACAGGGTTGAGTTTTCTGGGATAAACAATGCTAAATTGCTCAGCAGGGTGGATATAAAAAGCAGAGTTGGGTGATTTTCTCAGTCTGTTTGTCACCATTAGCGACCTCTTTCACATTAGACTCAGTCGTTTGATCTGCTGTTGAGTAAATTATTGATTTGTGCAGTTTTAATTGTACAGACTGACCGAGATCTGGGAACAGCGTGTGGTTACTAAACACACAGGACAAGAAACCGATATGAAAATAAAGCCGATCAGCAGAAGTGTAACTAAGCATCCATCACATTCACATCCTGGGTCAACTCTGGCTCGTGGTCTGACTTCTCAGTTTCTTTTTGTGATTTGAGATAAAGTTATTATTTATTTATTTATTTTACATTGGAAACATTTGGATTTGATAATTTACATTTAATGCTATATTTTTAGACCGCTATGTTAAAAAATAGTGAAAAGCTGTATACTGCTCCCATCACTGGGCCAGAGACAGACTCACACTGTCTTTTTGGCTAGAAAAAGTAGAAGCAGACGGCCAGGTTAAGGATTATGGGTCAGTGCAGTTTCCTTCATCTGTTTTGGACCTTGTGTGGGAAGATTTTTGACTGAGGTCTAAGGAAGAAAAACAGTTCAAGGGAATTTCAGTAATACCTTTAACCTCTAGCTGAATCATTTTCCTTTCATTCTTTTATCTGAAAATCTTAGTCATCTTTCCATCCCGCCTCCTTCTTCCTCATTGTGTTTTTCTCTGTATTTCCTCCTCTCTCTCTCTCTCTCACTCTCTCACACACACCAGTCTTTATTATCATTCCTCTGGTGATTCCACTGATGAATGGAGGGACTTTTGGAGGGTTAGGTAATTTGTATTCAGTCCCTACTCTACTTTCTTTACTCTGTCAACCCCCCAGCCCAGCTTCCTCTCTCTGCCTCACAATAACAAGTGACAGTACAGGTTAGTGAGTATAGTGAGTATGCCCCCCTTCCTCCCTTCTCATCCACCAACAATGGTCACCTTCAAAAGGCCCTTGCCATATGGGCCAGGCCATCTGGACTGTGCCATGTTACAGGCAGTAAGTGAAAGGATAGGAGCCCAGTCACGTGGGAAGGACTTAAAGGACGGTTCCAGCGAAAAGCTCACCGAGCAGCTGAACTCACTCACACGCTTCCACATGCAGTCCATCCTAACTTAATGAAGAGGCCTGGTGTTAAACTAGTGCGCTCTCAGGGGAAGGATCAGCAATAAGTGTTCAATAATTCATGACAGGAAATTCAGTGCCTACCTCACCATTAAACAAACACATGCTCTTTCAGGCCATTAAGACAGCTGCAAGTTTATAATGGTAATCACATCCAAACACACAGAGCGCATACATAATTTATTCGCCTATCGTGGCGCACTGACACCAAAGGAAGCCATGTTTTCTGTAAAATGAAGTCTTTTTGTTCTCGTGCTTGTCTTTTTATTTTAGGGATCGAGCTGTGTTTGCCAGGTTGGCGTTTCTCCATGACTATGGTGGCCAGTTTTCTTATGGTGGGCGGGCAGCTATTGATGCCAGGGGTGGCCGCTCTGTGTCGCCATTGGCCAAACCGGGATGACTGGCAGGTCCTGCAGATCGTCATAATCAGTCCTTTCGTACTGATGCTGCCGTACGTCTGGTGAGTCCCGCCCTCTGAAGAAAATCCACAGCTCTGAGCCAGGCGATGGCTTGTACAGTACACACGGCACCACACAAGCTCGCTCCGATTTTACAAACAATAGTCTCTTTCTCCTCTTGTTTTCTTCTGCCCTCACTTGTTTCTTTCTTGCGTTTACAAATCTTCTGCTCATCCTTTGTCTGCTTCTCCTCGCCATCCCCCTCTTTCACTCCCTCTACAGGATTTTTCCCGAATCCCTGCGCTGGTTGCTGGCCACCCAGCATTACCGGCGGTCCAAAGCCATGATGCTGCAGATCGCCAGGAAGAACCAAGTTGACATGACAACTGAGCCAAGCGGAGTTCTTACAGGTGAGGATGAATTCAAGAGGGAGCGAGAAGATGAAAGATCCCACAACCACTGGGCCACGAATTCTATTCTTTCTGTTGGTTTCCTTCAATTCTCTTCACTTTGCAATGTATTTAAATTGTCTGCAGTATGTTACATTACAGCTGCTGCTCGGTGTGATGAAATGAACAAGCAAAGACACTGACATGCATATAAAACTGCTCAGACCATTGATATGATGAAATGCAAACGCAATAAGGTAAAGATCCATAGTCCTTTAGGTTGTTAATGGTTTTGTATTATAATATACACAAAGTCTGACTTCCAAATAGTGCTGAGAGCATGTGCACTGTCAGTTAACAACAACATTGTTATCCTGTAAATCTCAGTTGAGTACGAAGCACCTGGGGTCTCATTTAAAAAGAATGTGTAGGATCCATACTATACCTCAGCAGAGAAGCTGAGATGGTGTGGACAAAAAATAGCAATAATAATTATAGAGCATGCCTATGCTCACCAGCTCAGAAGCTTCCCTTTATAAATCACGGTCAGTATAGAAATGTGTGCACTTCAATCAGTCTTCTACCCTTCCCTCAAAAAGCTGTTTTGCTGTGGTGAACTTGGCCCACTTTATAATAACTTGTGATGATATTTAGTGTAATGGATGATGAAAAATATGATGTTGAGTTGGAGAAATATTTGATTCTGCTCATCTCAGTGCTGTCGTGGCTTACTGGCATTTCAATATTTATGATAAAGTAGATCCATAAGTACTACATTATAGGAAATCATACTTAACGTATGATGTGAAGTATTATGTATTGGTTTTTACATCATGCCTTTAATTTAGCACCTCACAATGTGCATTGCTAATTTCTGTCTGTCTCCAAAATGTTCATAAGCGTGGGTCGGACTCTCTGTACCAGTGTGCACGTCAAGATTGCCTTTGAAAACTCCCAACTTGTGCGTGGGAAGTTGCACAGGCCTTTTTCAGACTTCATTTTCGGCGTGCGCCATGTTTATAAATGAGATCCCTGGCTATTAATTGTCTTGCGACAGATTTAACGTGTCTCACCTTTCTCTGCCACGACACTTCTTGTTCCCCCGAGATGGTGTTTGATTCATTGTCGCTGCTTCTCCCAGTAGCCAAGCAGTCAGAGGGATGATGAGAGTGGGCACAGTGATGTCCTACATCTATCTAAAGCCCCCCCAAAGCTCTTTAGCTTCTCCGTGCTAGAGATCCCTTATGGCCGGGTGCTCATTACCACCTGAAAAGGAAAGGTCTCAAGGTGTGCGTTTCATGTTTCCTACCAGAGCTGGAGCAGGAGCTGCACAAGAAACCCCAGAGGAGCTGCATTGTCAAGATGATGAGCACCAGGAACCTGTGGAAAAACATTGTGGTGCTGTGTGTCAACTCGTAAGTGTGTTGCGTTTGTGGTCCCGGCTTGTACAGTTCCTTTGCTAATAACAGCCAACATCCGTTGTGTTGAGAGCATGAATTACACATGAGCTGATCTCCAGAGAATGAAGACATACTCAAACCTCACGTGCCCTGTGGCGGACGCATGTTTTAGGTGGCACCTCATTGGCCACTCTCTTATTCTGTGGTTTTGTCTTGATGTACAGTCTGACAGGTTATGGAATTCACCACTGCTTCGCTCGCAGTATGATGGACCCCGAGGCTCAGCCCACGGCTTTGTGCCATGCTGACTATTACACCATGGCGGGCATCGCCGTGGCAACCTGTCTAGCACTATGCCCTGCGGTCGGGCTGATGGGTCGGCGTGGAGGGCTGCTCACATTCATGATCATAACAGCCCTGGCATCACTGCTGCAGCTGGGTTTGCTTAACTGTAAGTAATAAAAAAATGCACAAGTAGACCATTCAAATCAACTTTATTTATATAGCTCCAAACCACAATCATCTTTGTTACACAATCACATTTTGTTACATAGATGCACTGTAATGCATCTACGGCCATGTTTTTTGGGGGGAGACCACTACCATCATGACAGAAGGGTTTTATCACAGGATAAAAGTGATTACTTAGAATTTTTTTATAGCTACTAAAGTTACTGTAAAGTTTGACTCAAACAAAACTTTGGTGTGAAGGTCTAAAATACAACTAACTTTGTACAGACACCATGACTGTAATGTTATACTATCCTGTTGCCTTCAAAGTAAAACTATATTTCAAATAAGTAGCAAGCTATTAGCTAGGCATGCTAACTTTAGCCTCTCTTCTCAAAACTAATAAACATTGTTAATCCAGTCTTTACACTTTTCACCTCTTGTTTTTACTGGTGAAAATACCATGAATATATCCTTGAAACTCTTTGGATGGCCTCTTTGGATCGGCTTTAATCCTGAAATTAGTTGTGCCCTCCTGTTGTTTATCGGACAGTTTGACGACTTTGAAGCTTGTCAGACATGCTGTGCGTGTAGTTAGCTTGAGAACTGTAACTGAAAAGGTTTAGCCATGCTAGCCAGACTTTTACTGAAATTCTCAAACACTTCGGCGTCCTTCCCTTAGTCATTAAAACAGTACCAACTGCAGCTCAACCTTGATTCTAATAGGAGCTTCCCCTCATTCTTCCGCTTTGACCTACATCTGCAGCATGTAGTCATTATTTCAGGCTTCAGTGGTAAACTGTTCTCCTGAAGGCTTTTATTCTGCTTGTTTTGAGTCAGTGCTGTGCTGCTCTTCGTGCTTACTAATGACATCTCTCTTTTCTCCAATGCTCACTAATGGAATCCAGTGATTGGGAAGTACAGCCTTCGCCATGACACAGGTACATTTGCAGTTACGAGATTTATCATCTAAAACAATTAAAATGATAAACCTTTCCACTGGTTTGAGGAAAACTTAGTGATACACAGTAAACAATGTCATTTATGTCCCTGGAATCATGTTACATTTGTTGTTGCTGATTTTTAATGCTTGTTTCCTCTCTTTTGAACAGTTTTGCGAGACACTCTTAACAGGAAATTCTCTGTGGCCTTCTCCATAATTGGGATGTTCTCTTCTCATGCTGTCAGCACACTCAGCATTTTCTTTTGTGCTGAAATCACTCCTACTGTCATCAGGTGAGCCTGCATAACATACATCTTATGAAAGCAAACAGTCTTATTACTTTAAAAAATATATCGTCTATTATGACAGTGTCTGCACACAGCTTTTGTTCTCAAATTGCATATTTGCTCCCTCTTGTGGTGTGTTTATGACTGACAAGTGTTTGGAAAGAAAAATGTGTGCCACATTATTGATTACAATGGCTCCACAGAAAACTGGTGAAAACGTGGCTTTATGAAAAAAGGGCTGTAAGAGGTTATGAAGGAGGTTCAGAGCAACAGATCTGACCAGATGCTGAGTGAAGACCGTTGTCAGCTTAAGAAAGTGATAAAAGTGGCTGAATAAAGCCTGCCATTTTAATACTCTTAAGTGGGATGTATCCTGCCCACTTTCAGCTCTGTACTCCTAATACATTAGCACCGTATGATTCACCAGTCAGAAAATCCACAAATATCCTACATTAGGCTTTGGTGCAACCTCTTCATCTGAAAAAAAAAAAAGCCATTTGAGCTCATTTCCCTTTCACTCCAGCCTCCAATTGTTCTGATTGGCTTTCCCTTACAAACAGAAGGTCCAAACAGCAGATGGGTGGGGCTTCTATGCTCACAACTAGAGCTGTTTTTATGACATGAATAGGTGATGTGTTCTACTTTTGCAAATATAATACAGAGACAAAAATAGGAAAAAAAGGGGTATGTATGTAGGCTGATCTCATTATTTGCATTGTGGTGACTGTGGCTCGAGTAGTAGACTGGGTCATCTACCAATTAGAAAGTCGTGGATCAATCTGTGACTCCTTACATCAGGGTTGGGGAACTCCAGGCCTGAAGGGCTGGCGTCATGCAGGTTTTAGATATCACACTGGGTCAGCACACTTGAATCAAATGATTAGTTCATTACCAGGCCTTTGGAGACCTTCGAGACATGTTAAGGAAGTAATTTAGGTAATTTAGGAGGTTAGAAAGCCTTTAGGCATAGTTAAAAAAGTGCTGCATGAGACAAGCTAAGTGAGGCCTGTAGTAGAAAGCTACTTTATAAGAAGCAGTCCATTTAAAGTTATTTGACCATGTTTATATCTCAAAAAATAAGAAGTCAACTTTTAATGATGTCCCAATCCTGTTGTATGAAGAATGCTTCTAGAATGCTGCTGTTTTTAGTGTAAGGTGCGTCAGAACACCTTGGAAATAAATCAGCTCTGACCTCTTTTTCTGCAGGGGTGGAGGACTGGGCTTGGTCCTGGCTAGCGCTGGCTTTGGCATGCTCACTGCACCCATCATGGAGCTCCACAACCAGAAGGGCTACTTCCTGCATCATGTGATCTTTGCCTGCTGCACCCTGCTGTGCATCATCTGCCTCCTGCTGCTGCCTGAGCCACGGGGACAGCCACTGCCGGAGAGCCTGGCTGATGGAGAGACCTTTACCCGTCAGACCCTGCTCCATCCGGGAGAGCAGCACCTCCTTCTCGCCAAGAGTGATAGGGACTACTCCCGTGTTCAGGACACACCATTACATCTCTCAGCCACTGGGGGCGCTACAGTGGCAGCAGCCACCGCTCTGGCAGCGGTACCTGCCTCATACGCCCTTGCAACTGGTGGGGAGGTGATCGGGAATCATGCCATAGCCAATGGAGTGTGAGCAGCTTTGCAAGTTGTCTTCTGTGCTAATAACTGCTCCAAGCACTAACCTGAGCAAGCGATGACTGAACTTCCTGTACTTTAAGGGAAACTAATTGTTCATATGAACTCTTTTTATGTTGAGGATTCAGATGATGATGATAGTAAATTTGTGTCATTTGTAGTGACTATGATTCCTTCAGGAGTTGCCAAAAATATATTGTATTGAAGTCAGTGTATGTCAGATAATATGAGCGTCTTCAGTGGTGTTGGTGATTTTCTTGAGCCACCTTCTGCTCGAGGGTACAAGCAGACACAAGTGGAGAGACAAAGTACAGCAGAATAACTTTCAATAACGTGTGCTCTGAGTTTACTGTCTGTAGTTTTGACTCGTTGAAACTGGATTTCACTACATCTTAAACTCTTTGTAGGTAGGTTATTTTGCACTAAATGTCAGAGACACAATCAAGTGTTTGTGATTTGCAGCCAACACATTGGAGATCCAGGGATTGGCTAAAGCCACTAACTTTTTGCATGAAAAGGGCACAAATGTTTTTTGTTTTGTTCTGTAGCATTGGTTAATACAACCTGTGACTCACTGTGCAATTCCCCAGCATTTATCAAGTAATTCTCAATTGACAGTGTAATTTTCAGTACCTTACAATACTTACCAACAGGTACAGTAAAACATAGTTTTACTGTACCTGTTGGTAAAACAGGTACAGTAAAGGAAAGGAAAAAACTGAACAGGCTGTGGGGTGGTTAGCACTGTTGCCTCACAGCAAGAAGTATCTAGGCTCAAATCCAGTCTGGGACCTTTCTGACTGGAATTTGCATGATCTCTTTGGGAACTCTTCCCACAACCTAAAGACATACACACATAGGGTTAGGTTAATCAGCGAATTTAAATCGGCTCTAGGTGTGAATGGTTGTCTGGTGGCTGCTCCAGTCTGCATGCCGAAGTATCCTTGGGCAAGATACTGAAGCCCAAGTTGCTCCTAACATGGAAAAATGTTTGATAGAAAGCACTTAGATCTAGAGAAAAAGTCCCTGTGTGAATATGAAAGAGTGATGTTCTCAAGTAGGGAAGCCCTATTTTAGAACCAGTCTATTTACCATTTACTCTTTGTGTTAGTCCTGTGATAAACTGGTGACCTGTCAAGGGTGTGCCCTGCATCTTGCCCTATGACAGCTGAATTACACTGTAGTTATTTTTAGGTATTTGTTGTGTCAGAAGTGGAGGCCAGCATACTGTATCTCATAGCCTATACCCACAATAATACTACATTATCAAAAAATAAGTGGATGTTAGGCTACTCTTTAATATACCTCATACCCAGTGTAATACTAGGTATTACACGCTTGGCCTTTAGTCTAAACCCAATTGTCATTTCATAAAGACAAAATTTCGACCTTACTGCTAAAACACTTGAAAGGTACTCAAAGATTAAAATGCTCAACGTACAATTTGTTTCTCATTTCCTTTAAACTCCCTTAATCTACTGTAACAACATTTTACAGAACCAGCGAGTATTTGTAGGCAACATTGAAGCTATTGCCCGGTTTGCAAGAGACTACCAAGGTGCCAGGAACTGCACCTATAAAAGAAAGAGAACTCATATTGACCCCTCCTTTAATGATGCCCATTCCCGAACCAGTTCCAAGGACTTACACACAAACACACAAAAAATCCACTTTGAATTCACTAAATAATACATGGTAAATGTTGGGAAACCAGACAATAAGTTGCGGGCTGTATTGTGAACTGCTACAAGTACTCCCTCATTTGTGGTCTCTTTATATGAAGTCCAATGTGGCACTTTATCCTCAGCTGAGAGGTCAGTGTGGACACTGATTTTTAAAGAAGCGTTACTACTGCTGATGCTGGCGTATGATGGTTGTTGGAAGACGAACAGCCGGAGACCTTTCTCGCAGACCATATGTGTAGCCTACAGAGACTTTGTGCATAATGTTAAACAAATCTGAGAGCTGAACGGACATGAGCGTGACCTGCTAGTGCACTACTGTATGTCTTATGATGCACCTCAGCAATTTAAATGGCTTTATCGCTCTGTTCTGTTAACAAAACAGAGAAGATACGATGTAATGAAAGAAAAAAAAACTGTATTTATTTTTTGTCATGCTGCCAAGGGAAAGTTTTGTTGCTTGAAATACCTCCTTAATTAGCAAACATTTCCAAACTCACTCCTCGTTCTCTGTACTGTGCTAATACTGTAATCCTGTTCCTAGAGTGTGTAACTTTAGACAGAAAGCACAATATTTTACAGTTTTTTGACATGTGTGAAGATTAGAATAGAGCAGCATAGTCTGCATAGACCTGGTTTAGTTGTGATTGGTGTACATTATACACTTTATTATATAGGTATCCCTTAGGACTGCATAAAAATCTAAGGTATGTATACATGTGCCATTCATTTATAAAATATGGAACATAACCTTACTTTTATAGACTGTGAAGCACACTGAATAGACAAACCATCCCATCAAGCATTTTTGTGCAGATACACCAGAACCCGAGAATCCTCCATTTTTATAGTCATATTTAGTACACAGCACATATTTTAGACATTCAGTATGGTTTGGTAGTTTGTATGTTTTCAACAGTAAAAAAATACTCTAAGAAAACTGAAGGAAAAAAAACTCAACCACTAATGCTGTTTTCTAAGTGTTATTTTTTTAATATGGATTTGTAAAAAAACAAACAAACAGACAAAGCCACAGGCCTATAGTACATGTTTTGATAATAAACTACTTAATTTATTGTCAATAAAAAAAACACTTGATGTGGCCGTTTGTCCTGATTATTGCATTTGAGTATGACTCCAGTACTACACTGCTGCCCTCCTCCTACAAAGGGTCACATGTGCTCAAAAATGCTCAGCGTGCAGCTCCAGCTCCTTTTTGATCCTGTTCTCCACCAAGAGACTGAGGCTGGTATCTGTCATTGGAAGACTGTAACTGACAAATACTTGTTTTTTGGTCTTCTTTGCTGAAATATGGAGAGACACAACATTAGTTAACTTTGTGTTCACACAAAACATGAAATGGTAAAAATAAATTAAGGTCAGCAGTGGCCCAACTCTAATGTCTATAGAGACTTATAAACTTAGCACATAGCTGCAAAGACCACGAGGACTTAATCATCAGTTGCAGACAATCCTGTTATTGTTCTCCGAGGTCTGGTTACAGTTTGCCTGAACAACATGTGTACTGAGTCTGAATAGTCACAAAATTGTTTTCGGGAATCCCGACTTCTGGTCAGTTAGATATGAAACTATAACACGCCTATAAGGACTGTCCCACTGTCACAAGGACTCCCTGGCAGACAATTTGAGCTCTTTATGCACATATTTTATAGTTCTGCATTCCTGCAGACTTTACAAGCATGCCTCAGCCAGTCAATTCCTTAATTTCATTGGCTGTGGGTGAGAAAAAAAATCCCATGTTTCCTGTTTAGTTGTCAAGGCAACATTATGTGGTAAAGACACCATAGATGAGTAGTCATCTCTGTAGACTTTGCATTAGGCATGTGTACAGACAAAGTTGTTGTATTGTATAATAGTCTCCACAGACAAATCTACCCAGGCATGAGCTGGCAGGTAAAAAGACGTCCACATTCAGCCTCACAATTGCCCTCTGCATCACCCTGCACATTTTCAGGAATAGATACTACAACATTAGTTAGCATACCAGGTTCTCATTGTGTAGGTACACTGCTAATGAGTCAACACTCAGTTGACACTGAGTCAACAGTCAACCAGCAGTCCTTTGTTCACACTGGTAGTTACCAGTCACCTCAAAACTGAAATAGGTTAGTTGCCTCCTACTCACTTCACATTGTCAATGTTTCACCTGTTGCAAGCTGCTGAGTTCCAGTGATATTACGTAGTGTCTTCCAGTGCGGACGTCATTTTACAGTGGACACTGAGATTAGCTAAGTGTTTTCGCAAAACAAAGATAAATGGCTATTCTTTGCTGCTGTGTTTTGAACCAAGTTAAATGTAGTGTTTTATTTAACACTCCGCAGCATATCAGAGGTGTGAAACACTTCTCCAAGCCAGCTGTAATTAAGTTTGACGATAGAATTTGTGGAGATTTGAGACTTGCCTTGCTTCTGTAACTAAATGCAATATCACTTTTGATTTCAAACCTATCGTTTCACGGTTACACTAGTTATTGTACTAACACACACTCTGAATACTCCATACACAGATACGCTACTTTGAAGCATCACTCTACTCAAGTTTCAATTCTCCCTGTTGACCCTCAGGAAGGAAGGTCAAGTAGACACCAAAAACACATGCAAGAAAAAGGCGTGCCATTGACTCTGGGTTCAAAATTACATCAATGGTACAATTCTAAATATAATAGAAATCCACAATTAAGAACCACATGCAACTTAAATGAGCATTTTAAGACTTTGCTGTAGCCATCTCCTACATACAACACATATTGCAAACTAGTGTTAAACATTACCTAATCTTTGTGCCAAAGAATTTGGTGCTGTGTTGGATGGGTCCCCCATAACTAATGTAGATAACGGCATTGAATCCTGCAGACAAAAGCATATAAGCTGTTAGCTTCCCTTTCCAAATCAACATGTAAGTGACTTAATACCTGTTTATAGGCCTAGGCAAAAAATTTTTACAACTCAGGGAAATAGAGAAACACTTCTAATCTTCAGAAGACTCGCTTTCTCACTCAGACACACACACACACACACACACACATATATGTGTGTGTGTGTGTGTGTGTGTGTGTGTGTGTGTGTGTGTGTGTGTGTGTGTGTACGTACGTACGTATACAAACACCGCCAAATTAATTTAAGAAAAATATTAATTTTTTTATACATACATTTAGGAAAAAGTCCAGCAAAATAAGATTTTTTTTAAATTATGATGTTTTACAATATTCATATTTTATTAATTTTTAACGTTTATATTCTTCATGAAAAACTTTGAAAATCTTCCTAAAAAAACTGAAGACCTGCGCCTTTAAATTCCAAGTTTCTTATTCTTCACCCGACGAATATACCCAATATTCTTTATTTCTGGAAAACAGCTAACCAGTACTTGGTGAATGAAGGTGTGCTGTGCGGTACTTACATATTTGCTGCTCATAGACACTGCTAAGTTGGACAGAACCGGAGCCGAACCGACCCAAAGGAAAAACCCGCCGCTGAGCTTCATGACGTGAAAGTGTACCACCTGCTCCAGAATCTTTTCAGAGAAATTGTGAACGGAAATTCCCTCAAATTCCGCACCGTTCTGCATTTTGCCAATTTTGTTTCCCTCTTTATTGGATGAACATCTAAAGGCCGCGTTAGCTTAACTATAAACAGCATGGAATACTTCCTGGTTTAGCAAAAAAGGCAGGCCAAAGCAATCGATCATCGATGCTCTAGAGTGAGAATCCAGCACAACCGATCTTGGTGCCGCACTAGATCCCTATTACACATTCAGTGTGAATTAATACACATATATTAGCTTTTAATGACACTTTCTTACAGTGGCACCCTCTATGAAATAGCAGAGACTTTATAAGAGTTTTATTGGTAAATATTTTATTCTTGTGGCCAAAACGTTTTTTTTGTACCGGACTGTAAAAATCTTTATTTTGCTGTGAGCTTATAAGCATTTTAACACTGGGGCCTCAGGGATTTTACCACTGAAGTCTTGCTTCAGCCCTTGAAGGTGACGCTTTGAGCTTTCCTTGTCAAATAAATGTACAATATTTAAAGATGGTAGTAATGTTTCTCCTCTTCAAATAAAGCCTTTGACCTGCTGAGCCCTTGACACATTTTTAGTAAACTTTGCTTCAGAGCATCCTGTTAAAGACAGTTGTCACAATTACATCCACGCTCTTTGGTTCTGTCCACCAGTGCAAAAGTTTTGGCGCGAGATATGTGAAGACTTATCAAAGTGTCTGAAATGTAACATTCCAACTTCCCCCTTAGTGTGTTTACTGGGCAGCTTAGATAATTTCACTTCAGAAAAGAATATAGCCCATATGATTTTCACTGCCCTATGCATAGCCAAGAAAACAGTCCTCATGAACTGGAAAAATAAAAATAATCTTAATTCTAACCAATATAGAAATTATCTATTAGATTACATTAGTCTTGACACAGCCTCTGCCACCACAT